GAGCATCTGTTGGAGGCATGAACTTTGTTAATAATACCACATACTGATTGACCGTAGATTGGCCGATAGTCTCGATATAAGCAGATGAGACGACGCAGATGATAAAAAATCAATCCTCTTCACATTTTCCTCACGCACCATAGAGTGCGACACATACCTTATGTTAGCTATTACAACTTGTTCAAGTTACGTTCAACAAATTACAGTCTGCGGAGATGCCATCAGTTCTGAGTGAGATCAGTCGACAAACGCGATGTGTCTGTGTGTAGGGCCATGCCGAATAGAATACTTTTAACAGAGTAGCGAGAGGGTAGGGAAAAGAAGGGCGTTTAGAACGTTTCACAGATGTGTCGAAACAGAGTTTGTACTAGATGTAACCGGATTCCTACAGAAGCCCTTTTGACCTATGCGATTCCAATAAGGGGAGCATATTGTAAGCCAAGATGTCCGAGTATACTTTAAGAAGGTTCTAGGTTAAGGTTTCGAAGATTCACTCAATGCCTATCTCAGGTTACCATCCAGACCTCCCTTTTATAGGGATAGGTAACTCAGTACTTGCACTCGATATGTTCTTTGCATGCGCCTTAAGTCTTACTGAGAATCATGCACTGCAAAATGGAAAAAAAAGGAGCAGAAGTGATACTCCATATCTAAACACAGTTTGAGGTACAGGTGATTGGATGTGAGGAAGAGCTCCTTCTAAGACAGGAACTATGATATTCTGGGCGCACTTATTATTTACATTGGGCCGTTATCACAAAGATTTACAGAGCCGAAGAGATCGTAAAGCTGCTCGAAGTCATAGAACTGCTCGCGATGGACGACAGGATTATTTTTGGAGCACCTTTTGCATCCGTGGAAGTGCTTGATACCGTAGTGCTGCTTGAGTCTGTGGTACTGCCAGGCTTGGTTGAGCTGCGGGCAACGGGTTGGCTCGACAAGCTGCATTTTGCCGCAGAACTGGCCGACGAAAACGTGTCAGAGCCGGTGAGAGAGCTGCGAGTAGAGCTACTCGGGGAGCTGCTGATAGATGTTCCGAGGCCTGCATCTTTTGTTGGACTGCTAAGGGAAGCTACGGATGTACTACCGGAAATCGAAGCAGAAATTAGAGCATTAAATGGGGAACTGCTGAAAGTAGCGAAGTTCAGTTGTTGGTCGACATGGTAGCGAGACTGATCGATGGTCTTGAGCTGCTACAGGAGTTGGGTGAGCTCTAGGAAGAACTCGGGGAGTTCGATGTAGAGCTGGGTGTGCTGGAGGCTGTGGGAGAACTCTTCGCTGACGCCGGGATGTCGCTTCCCAACAATATAACCGGGGAGGAGCTCTGTGTACTCGTTGTCGGGGATGCTGAGTTGGAAGAAGAAACCACGCCTGTGCAGCTACCAAAAGCTGACTGACAACCCAGTGAAGCCGAGCAGTAGCTGTCTGTAGTACCGCAATTGCCGTACTTGCTACAGCAGAGACCGGTCTTGCATACCCAGCCGTTGTTGTTGCCTTTACCAACGTCTCCGCAGGTTCCGTCTGGTGAAACGCTTCCGCGTGTGGGAGCGGTAGTATCACATGTTCCGAAAGCGCTCTGACATACCGATGGCGCACAGTAGTCTGCAGTCGTACCACAGTTTCCGAATCTGCTACAGCATTGGCCGGTTTTACATACCCAGCCGTTGTTGTTGCCTTTGTAAACGTCTCCGCAGGTTCTGTCTGGCGAAATGCTTCCACGTGTGGGAGCGGCATCATCACATATTCCGAAAGCGCTTTGACATACTGATGGAGCACAGTAGTCTGAAGCTGTACCACAGTTTCCGTACTTACTGCAGCACTGGCCGGGTTTACAGATATAGCCGTTGTTGTTGCCTTTGCCAACGTCTCCGCAAGTTCTGTCTGGTGAAATGCTTCCACGTGCGAGGGGAGTTGCAAGAGCTGTTGCAGATACAGTCCGAGAAGGCATCCCAGTTCCGGTATTGATGTTCGAGGCTTCGTCGACGTATGTGCTTGTTGGTGCAGCATCACACAATCCGAAAGCGGGCTGGCATACGTTTGGAGCGCAATAGCTGGCACCGCTCCCGCAGTGTCCATACTTGCTGCAGCATCTGCCACCATTTGGAGGGCACGTCCATCCCAGGTTATTGCCAGCGTTGATGTTGCCACATAGTCCGTTGAGGGAATAGACTGTAGTTGGTTCTGGCTCGGTGGATGTCTGCATAACTTAGGTGGCGGCTCGATAGAGGTGAAGGAAAATCTACTTACCACGTTTGTGGATCGCACTTGACGATACGGCTGCGTATCCTGCAAGCACTCCGCTACAGTGACAGCTTGAAGTCGTTAGTCTTTGCTATATTCCAATGTAGTGGATTTGACCCTCACTTTTGAGACCCCTAGCTTGAATTGTCTGGATCATGAAGTCGATGAGTACTCCGTGGGTCCATTCTTCCTGCTCATGGGCTTCTATTATCGTACGCCCAAGGTCAAGACCGTCGGTAAATAGCTTTTTTGCAGTTTCGATCCCAGATTCTGACTGATACTGCCAGTCCTTGGTGTTCAGGTCGCCAATGATGACATGATACTGAAGTTCCTTGAGTGCTTGGAGCGCGACTGCGTTGACTGATAGGAATGGAGGGCGCATGTAATAAGGGAAATACCCGAGGATGTTAACTAAGGCCTCCTCTAACAAAAGCATTTCTTCTTTCACTCCATCAGCAGTCAAAGTAGCGAGATTTTTGTGACTCCATCTAATGCACCTAGTCAGCATGGAAGCTACAATACATAGGAAGACTCCTTACGTGTGTGATCCGATCTGATGTCCCATGTCGACCATTCTCAGCAAAGTGGAGTTATAATCGTAGATGTTCCCTTTATTGGCCCCATTAATGAACCAAGTCGCTTTGATACCCGCAGCTTCCATACTATGACCAATTTTAGCAGCTTCAAGGTAGGGTAACAGTCACTGAGAGACCACTTACCGGTTGAGGATATCCTCTGAGTAGATCCATGGACCATCATCAAAACCCGGGGCGATGACCCCGGGCAAAGTGCATGAGTATATCTGCAAACCAAATGGAACGGCCGATGCAAAGGGAAGCACTGCTACGAGTGCACCTAACGCGCGAGCTGTTTTGCCGAATGTGAAACCCATACTCGCTACAATCTGCGTGAAGCCGTGCAAGTCTGGGGTTGTAGCCTAGATGCGGTGGTGACAGGATGGCAGCACAACGAAGATGGGGCTGTAGCGATTTGAGAGCGTAACGGACCACACTTAAATGCAAGCATGGATGCAAAAGTCGCACGTACACTTGCCGGGGTTCCCGAGAAACTTGTGTACAACTGTAAACTCTATGCCGGTGATGAGATCTAGATCCCGCGAATAAGAGCGCCACGGATATGGTCTAGTCTGCCACTTTCCACCTTTGCACTTGAGCACTAGCGAGGGCATGACTAAAAGGGAAATATTAGATTGTTCAAGGCTACCGACGTGGCTGAAAGCCCATTCGCTAAACGGAATTTGAGCCTCGACTCGTTTGCGACAGGGTCACGCCACTAAGCATCTTGTTCACGGTACGGAGGAGCCCGTTTCTCCGAAGCGATCACCTCCGGGGACATCCAAACCACTCGCCAAGTTTAGCTTACTATAGCGTTACAACAACAGACTAGATTATTTCAGTTAGGTGTAACTGTTGCACGCCAAATTCTCGGCTAGAAGGGCTTCTCTAACAGGATATCAAGATTGTTGCGATGTTGGTATAGTCTGTGTAGTATGGCAATCGGGATGCGTGGAATAGATTTTCGCTTAAAAAACGCGCTCTTTCGTAGTTGTGAAATCGATAATAGCTGTTGAGTTGATCCTAGCTTGTGTAACTCTTTGCTGCAAGACTGGAACAAAAAGTCACCCTATTGTGCGCCGACTGTACACCTTGCGGCTTGCAGGTGGAGAGCTGGATAGATGCTTGGCGCGGCGCCGTCTAGTCATGCTTGTCGAACTTAGGTGCGCCGGGTACCTGAGCCCCTTTTCAGAAGACTTGGCGCTACGCCGCCTTGTCATACTTGTTGACCTTGGCATTCTCCTGCATGAGACTTGGCATGGCGGCGCCATCTTATGCTTGGCGGACAGGCCGATTCTTTTTGTGGGGCTTGGCGTGGCGCCGCCTTGTCACGCCTATCGTGAGGCTTATCGTGGCGCCGCCTTACCATGCTTGGCGAACTCAGGGGCGATCTGTACCTAAGCACTTCTTCTTGCGTAGCTTGGCGCTCAAGCTTGTTAGTTTTAGCATGCAGATTCGAGTTTTCAAGATCAATCCTAAACTAGAGTAGTCTACCTATGAAGGCCAGCACGTGGCGTAGGCACTTATTCAGCTGTTCAGCTCTCCCTCGGTGGCGCCGTTGTGCGCAGTAGACCATCCGATCAGGAACCGAGGATCACCACACCAGCGAGGACCTCACTCACCCAATCTATGTACGCAGCAAATCCATTTCCCTTCTTATTTATCTATGTTTGTAAAGGAGATCTATATCATACCGTAATATAGATCAACAGTGTCTACAGTAACGTGCTCTATCCTCTCAGTGACCTTGGCGATCGTTCTGGGTTTCCGGTGATGAGCTAAACAAGCTTCCGACTGCACTACTGTAGACTCCGAACTTGGTAGGCTTGCAGAGTTTGCAGAAGATGGCGCTCTAGAATTATCGAACACGCCAGCCATAGCCCTGTTAATTGAAAGGCGTTACAGGCAACGGCAGAAAGTTCTATCAGCAAAGATCAAAGCTTTTGCCATCCGAAGCTGATGGCAGTCTCGCCAGGTCTGAACCTGCGGCACGATTCGACGTGGCTGGAACTCTGGAGCTAGAATATCACAACACAAACATCAAAGCTTTGGCCATCCTGAGCTGATGGCAGTCTCGCCAGGTCTGAACCTGCAGCGCGACTCGACGTGGCTGGATCTCTAGAGCTGGAATATCATAATACAAACATCACTCAAGTATAAAGGCATCGGTCGAAGTCGACTGTAGAAATATCACCAAGCAACCACTTCCACTCACTACTACCATCTTCGGTCCAAGTAATCTTTTAATCCTCGACTCGGTGTCTTAATAATTTCTTCAATTACTTTTCCCATTATCAACTTTTGGAAATCGCCTCATTCGCTACAATGGCCGTTACTTTCACCGACAGCATGTTCGCCAACAAGTCCTTCTCTATTGACAAGAAGCCTGAGATGACCGTCACCACTGTGTGTCTTCCACTCACTCCTCCTGCTGAAGAAGACCCCAACTCGCCAAAGTGGGACATCGAGGAGCCTGCGAAGACTGTCAGCCAGCAGGAGGTCGAGTCGACAAAACCTGAATCCATCGTTGCCGTCATCGGTGTTGGCTACGTTGGCACTCACTTGGTAGAGGCCTTCGCTGGTCACTATAACGTTATTGCATTCGATCTTAGCGAGCAAAGACTCGCTAAAGTGGCGCAGCTACTTCCTGGTCTCCCAATCCAGTTCACTTCCAACGCAAAGGATATCAGCGAAGCTACCCATGTTCTTATTTCGGTCCCCACAATCCTCAAGGATGACAAGAGCATCGACACAGCATATCTGCGCAGTGCGATCGCTACTGTGGAGAAGTACGTCAAGCCTGGATCCACTGTCGTCGTTGAGAGCTCAGTCGCGGTTGGCATGACTCGCGAGCTCGTCGGTCCCCTGATGGCATCTCGCAACCTCAAGGTTGGCATGTCTCCTGAGGTAAGTCAGCCATTTTGCTCTATTCCCAATTCCCCAACATGTTGACTAACAGTCTACAGCGCGTTGATCCTGGTCGCACATTCCCCGCCTTCGAGGATATCCCCAAGATCGTCTCTGGCCTTGATGAGGCATCACTGGAATCCATATCCACACTCTACGGCCGCGTGTTTAACAAGCTTCTTCCCGTCTCTTCTCCAGAGGTTGCTGAGATGACCAAGCTCTACGAGAACTGCCAACGCATGGTCTGCGCCGCCTATGCCAACGAGATGGCAGATGCATGTGCTAACATCGGCATCAACGCCTTTGAGGTCAGCAACGCAGCTGCATCCAAGCCATTTGGCTACCTCCCCTTCCGCCCAGGCCCTGGTATCGGTGGCCACTGCATCCCAGTCAACCCCTATTACCTGCTGTCCAACTGCTCCATGCCTCTTCTTGAGCATGCCACCACTATGTCGTGGTCGCGCCCTGCAGATGTTGCGACCCGCTTTGTTCAGTCTCTCGTTCACGAGAAGTCATCCCCAGAACAGGCAGCTGTTGATCCCAGCCATCTTCGCCTCCTTGTTGTCGGTGTTGGCTTTAAGCGCGGCCAGGACGTCATGAGCAACTCGCCTGGCGCTGCCATCATCCGCACATTGAAGAGCCGCTTTGGAAGCTACGTCGAGTTTGCCGACCCCCTAGTCGGAACTGACATCTACAATGCTGTTCCCAAAATGGATACTACAACAAAGTGGAACGCTGAGCACCTCAGCACATATGATGGCATCATTGTCTCGGTCAACCAGGAGGGTTTGGATATGGATGTTCTTGAGCAGCTTCGCGGTGTCAAGGTCGAGGATTTCACTGGCACTTTGATTAACCCTGCCTATAGCATGGGGTCGCCCTCTGGGTTGTCAAAGGGTTTGTAGTTAATTTTCCGCATTCCATTTTCACGCGGCTACCTTCTCCAAAATTCTCTAGACGTTATTGAGTAGGGCATGATCAGGCGTTTTATGATAGTTCAAAATAATAATATGATTCTCTTTTCGAAAACTACAACTTTGACACTACACGAAGTTTTCACCCTCAATGTCTTACAATGTTTGACCTGAGATGCAATGCCATTAAACAGCAGCTCAAATTAGCAACAATGAAAAAGATATTCAATCACTTCAGACTAGTAGATATTGCGTAGTGGGTGGGTCTTTTTCCACCGCTCAAAGTGCTGCACGCCGCAGGTTAAGTCTCTTCATAGATTGTGCATCTATGTAGTTACCCCACAACTACGTTGCTGTCACATCCGGGGCCGAGAAAAGCCGCACTCACACAATAGACCTTTATTTGCTACTAGCAGGGGCAGAGACGTACAACAGAAATAAGGACTCTGAGCAGACAGAATTACAGAGAAGAAGCAGCTCAATAATATTTGGGTTCGAAGGCAGCAGCGATAGCTACGCTGTCAATTATGCGTGAGTTGAATCTCGTCAGCTCAGAGACCTAGGAGATAGAGTCGCTAAGAGAAAGAGACTTCAGAGTGACTATGCAGGTACGAGTACAACCACGAGTATTGGGAGCCTTGTTGATGGATAGATATCACTGGCCTGAAGAAGATTTCGAGCCAAGAAAGAGATTAACGTCCAGCTGCTTGGCAGTGGGTTGGTGGCGTTTCTTGACAGACGTAACGTTTGCAAGCGACCTTAGCCTCTCAATTAGCGCTTGCGCCAACGTTTAAGATGACCTCTAGGTATGTACCTCGATGCGGAAATATGAGTCCGTTGTAGTCGCTCACTTAGGTGGTCCCACAGGCGAGACCATCGTCCTTGCTGTTTGGCCCCACAAAAGGCCCAGCCCACATCAGAGCACTCTACTGTGTGTGGCGGCCGAGCGCCAGAACTCAAACCAATCGTCAAATCAAGCCAACCGGCAAGGTGCACTTTGCTAACAAACTGCGAGTTCTGCTGTAAAGCAGTGGACGCAGGGTTAGGGGGTGCCAACCCATTGGTACTCGATTAACCGAGTGACCATGTCTACCTCGTTCGTCAAATTCATTGCTAGCTGTTGAGTTTTATTTTTTTAGCGTACCGTACTTATCACATCAGCGTTACCTAAGCGCTACCGCTGCCGAGGCAAGAATTTTCTAATATCCGATGTCAGCTGCATTCAGCTCCATCTAAGCAGAGCCTCATCTATTATAATCAGTGGCTAAACATGTAGCATTTAGCTCTTTGCATGAGATGTATTAGATTCCGCAGCTGTTTCCGGAAATCGCTCCTGTACTTGTGTTTGTGCGCGTGACGCCCAGTATCGCGAACGCCCGTTCTCTAGCATCTCTGCCAATCTTCAACGCATAATAACTCAACACCGATAA